ATATTTTTCAGAGAGGTTGGGCTCAACCACCAACCATATTATATACACCCGAACGCATAAGTCCATTGCAGGCAGTAGGGGGGCATGAATTTCCACCGGCCCGCATAGCACCGCATAGCACCGCATAGCACCGCATAGCACCGCATAGCCCCGCATAGCCCCGCATAGCACCGCATAGCACCGCATAGCTTCTCCAAACCTACTCCGCAGAACACCTGGAGGCCGCGCTGAACAAGGCCAAACTGGCATCTGGATTCAAAAGAGATCTCTTCGTTGATCAGGAGTGTCGCAAATTTTTGGAATCCGAGAGTTGCCTCAGCGCGGTCCACAATTGGGATACATATCGCAAACCTGCACACCGGGCAGACCTTTTCAGGTACTGTGCAATGCTTGTCCGAGGAGGCGTTTACCTTGATATGAAGTGTTGCATCCTGACGGACCTGGAGTCTCTGCTCATGGTGAAGCAACGGGAGCTTGATTTGCTGACTGGTTGTGCAAATACCCCCTTCATGGTTTCAGCCATTGGTGCAAAGCGTGATCACATCTTCCAGGGAGTTATGACTACCGCAATTTCACACCCTGATGGCGCATTGCCTTGTTGATGCCCTACTTACAACACAGAATATGTTACAGGGAAAGTACATGCGGTTTTGTCGTTATATATGGCTGCGCTTGAAGCAGTCTTCGGGCAAAGATCCAGAGCCAGGTTGGCAGCACTACGAAGAGTTCGGATGGATTTTTTTGCTTCAGGACTCTAGGGGCCGGTGTCCATGTTTAGCTGAATTCACGTTTTTTCACGTTTTCACGTTTTTCACGTTTTCACGTTTTTCACGTTTTCACGTTTTTCACGATTTCACCGTTTCAAACTGAGCCTGCCGCCCTGCCCATTTTTTCCTCTGCGACCCATCCAGAACATAGCTCGGGATCAGGGGCTTGTGCCTATGTTCATTTTTTACCTGACAACGTGCGCTTGCAAAAGCTGCTGCAAAAGCTGACGTCAGCTTGAGCCAATATATCCTCATGTTACCTGGCCGACGGGTGACATGTATGTACTGTACAATATTTGTATAGATTTATATGCATATACATATAGAAAGAGTTCTATTGTGGAAACATACATTCTTACATACATACATACCTGGATCCCATGGTGTACCATTAAAATAGTGCACTGGCTAAAGTTCACGGTTTTGACCGCCACTGGAATATGCAGTTCTTATCAAAGGCTCAAATGACATAAACATTCAGTCACAAGATCAAAGAATAAACATGTAAAATGAGGCTAAATGAGGCTAAATGAGGAACATCGATGCATATGGAACATCCAATCCGTCTGATAGCATTGCATAACTTTGATATGATATTGCTATAGAATCGTGTAGAACCATGACGAACCCTTTAACATCTTCATATACCCTTAACTGTCCAACACCATCCCCATCCAGCCCCACTGCTGCTTCGATGGTTTTTCCATGGAAACCATCTCCTTTCACGAGGACTGCTGGGCCTGGGAAGTCATGCCCCAGTGTTGGGCCAATGAAATTTTGAAGCGTCCCAAAGTCTTTTCATGTAACGTTCGAATAGAAACATGTCGCGAAGCGGTAGCTATGTGTCCCACAAAATCTTCGTCCATCTGGGTGGACCATGCCAGCGGTGAAATCGAATCACGTTCATTGGCTTTGTCCAGCTCTAACTCGAAAATCACTTCACCATATAAATGGTATTTGGGCTGTAGTTTCTACCTGCATAGTCCCTCGTGATATGCAAAATTTGCACATTCTTTGAAGAGACCCGTTGCAATGCGACCAGACTTGATTAAAGCATTGCGTTCCAAATCCGTTAGCCAAAGCGCACAATGAAAAAGTGTCTTCATGAACGCGTTCGCTGCTACTATCATGTTGTAAATCTTTCGGAAATACCCCACCACGACACCAGACATGTTTGCGACTTCTTGAGCAAATCGGTCTTCCAGGTAGATAAGCAAAGATGTAGTATCTGCCCCTTTGTACCATCCCCTTAGATGATCATAGATGAATAACATGAATCCTCACATCCCCACATGTATGAAAAAAACTCGAAAAAACGTTTTTTAGCTGAGAAACCCTGTGGGGTATGCGCTTGTGTTTTGGTATCCCACCAAAATTCGGGTCAAACCCTGCATATGTAACTGCAGCGAGTGATTCTTGCAAAAAGATTTGGCTTCAGCAAAAATTTGGTTGAGCGCCGCTTCAACGCCGAGGTCTCCAGATGCAAAGTCACACAGGGATACCTGATCAAACATAAAGGTGAAAGGGTAACAGACAGGATGTTTGGGTGCATATACATATATTGATCAAACACAATCAAAGAACGTTTTATATCAGTCTAAAATCAACAAAAAAGAAAATGCTAATGAATCAGGGATGATATCAAGTGTCAATGGCATTTGCCGCTATATCACCAAAGACCGCCTTGTGAAGCGTGTGGAATATATCAATGCGAAAGAACAAATTCGGGTAAGGACCCGATGGGATATGTTTCACTAAACCTGGCTCAGCTTTCCATGGAGCAGGTGCTCCAATGCGCATTTTCTTCATGTTGTTGAAGCTGATGTCATACCAGTGGTGGGACTCTTGGCCACCCAGACAAAGGTGGCAAATCCCTTTGCCACCATCTTTAGCTGAAACATCTCTCAAATGATGCCGAGTTAGCTCACCACATTTCACTAAAGCTGCCCAATCCCCTTTGAGTCCGACGGGGACAAGGTAGAGTTTCTGGGATTTCCCCAAGTAGATCACCTCAATGCCATCGCGAAAACACGATTTCAAATCAAGCGCTAAATGCTCGATGAGTCTCAGCAGTGGCTTGTTCTTCATCTTCTTTCCAGAGTAAACACGTGCCAGCATAACAGAATATAACCATCGCGTTACAATACTTTTGCCGAGGTAATTGACACCAGGGTCAGTTTCTGTCGCTTTGCGTTTGGAAGTCCCGCGTCCCAAGCATGGCTGCACTTGGATGATCATGACAGCTTTTTTCTTTTGAGATGTTCCTTCATCGCAATGTATCATAACTGGAACACACTCAGACAAGTGTGAGGCATGCTCGGCAAATACAGGATGTTTTGGTTGCAGATTCCTCCACTTTTCCCAGAACTCAGTGTATTGTTTCGGTCCATTTCCCATAAAGAGATGCTGCAACTTCTCATTTGCAGACATACACCGCACAAAATCATGGACTGAGAACACCGGGTGAGGCTCACTCAAGCCTACATCTTTGTAAGTGAACGGGATGTCAGCTGCAAGTTTGTACTTTTCAAATGACTTGATAGGAGATATCCATGACCTGTTTTCGATAACCTGGATGCAACTCTCAGAAAATCGGCACTCGGTTTGTCATCGGCTCCATCCAATCCACCAAATTCCTCCCAAAATGCCGCAGCCAGTGAACAAGCTTGGGTTTCACTCACCTTGGTTCCATTGAACATGCCTTAAGATTTGAATGGTTTTCCCATGTGTTGTTTAAGTCAATATGAAGTTAGAGATACCCAAAATCAAAGCTTTGCATGGCAAACCCACATACAGAAATTGTAGAGACCTGAGTAGTCCCAGAGACCCCTGCTGCAACTGCTGCAGCAATTGCTCCAGCCACAGGACCAGCTGTCGATTTGCTCGAGTTCTTCTTTGAAGGACCGGAAGCTCTTTGACCTGCGAGGGAAAAATCAATGCAGCACAGAGAACATGACAATCCTGGACATGAAGTGAAGTCATGATTTGAGATTCAACAAGATCACGCTTTTCACATCCCAAATTTCGACAGGATTGAGCTCTCTGTTTTGAAGAGCAAATTTGTGCTCACGCATGGATAGCAGTTTCAGAAGTATGGGCGGGTTCCAGTATGATTTCATCAAGGAAATGCCAGTTGAATTGAAAAATCCTGCACATATACTGTAGTATATATATGTATATATAGATCTTTTAACTTTGAAAAACTCAAGGTGCCCGCCACCCAACACTCCTAGGTTCACTAGTGTGTGCAGCCACACATCTGCGAAGGAGCGGTCAAAACCTCAGGGAGTACTTTCTGGACAAGATCAACCATTGATCATCTCTGAGTGCGATGAGGCTGGGACATAAGAATGGCCCAGGATTGTAAGAGGTCTGTCTTGTCGATGTCCTATCAAACTCTGTTCAAACTGGTCTGGCGAAATTTGTTGCTCTATCAATGCATGTTTAATTTCACAATGACACACTGGCGAACATGGATCTTAAACAGCCAATGGGATGGCCTTCACTTTGCTGCCTTGCGGGACTTGCGTTTGCGCTGCATCGGTTCAGCTTCATGTGCAGTCTCTGCCACACGCTTTTTGGACTTGCTCTTGGCTTTTGCCTTGGCCTTGGCTTTCGGGGTCTTTGCCTCTGAAGGTGCAGCCTCAGGCGCCGTCTGTCGAGCTGATCTCAGGACAGTCCTTGGCCGGACCAAACAATATGCTGGTCTAAGGAAGGCATGAAATGAAATATCTGATGTGTATGATGTCGGCTCTTGCTTTTTTTCAAAGCTTTTATGACATTTGTAAATGTGAATTCCCGGAATCAAAGCCCACCACTTCTTGACTTTGATCTCCTCCATCAGAGCTCGCGAAGACCTGGGCCAATGAAGGGATTATATTATAATATATGTATATGTACATCGAACCCAAAAATGCCAATTCTTTCCGACCATTATCTCAAACTTGTTGAGGTTCATACTCAGCTTCCACCTTTTGGATCAGGGCATGGAGGTCTTCGATTTTCCTTGGGAGTCTATGGGGGCCCCAACCAAAATGGGACCTTTAAAAATTCGATGTTTGTGCTGCAAAGCTTCTTACTGTCAGGATTTGGATTTGAAGAATGCTTCACACCATCAAAGTAGCTCTTCAGATCTGCCAGTTCATCATGCAACTCAATGAGCTTCTTGCAGTAACCATCCACCTTTGGGATGCACCTAGGCTTGGAAAAATACATGAAAACAATCCATCTCGGCTACAACAAATTTGATGTATAAGCAGTCATGCAAAACATATACTGCAGTTTAGATGTGAAACATGATCTTGAAGACTGAAATGCATACCAATGCACGTATACGTATACACCACAGCATATCCATAAACTTTGATATGTATATAATATGTATAATATATATAATATATATATATATATATATATCATGTAAAGCCACTGCCAATCTGAACTTTGAACAAGTAACTCTTTACCTTCAGGCGTCCCAACATCAGACAGCTTTGCCTTGAGCCCCTCGAGCTTTGACTGCGATTTGAGGACGTTGGACACGACAATGCCGATGTTGTCCACGGCCTCCAGGACAGGCATGAAAGTCCAAGAGGGGGGTCTAAGTGAGTTGGTAGAGGTTTGAAGCCCCAATCGCGGTTAAAAAAGCGTGATCCGAAATTCAAAATCTAAGTTTTTCAACCTATGAATTCTTTGTTTTGAACACTTGTCCTCCAAAGCAGATTCTGCAATTGGTGTTGTTCTTCTCTTACTGATAGAACTGACTGTGCCATCACCTTCGTCATCATCATCGTCACTGGAATCCTGATCCCCTCCACCAACCTCTGGATCCCCGCAGGCTGCTGGGACCAGCGGTGACAAACCTAAGTCTATCTTAGAAGACCCTTCGCCCACCACTGCTGTGGTGTCCGTGAAAATCTCCTCCGCTTCATTCTCATACGAACCGGTAGTTTCAACGTCCACCCAATATTCATGGGTGCCATCGTACTTGTCCTTCCTGCAGGATGTGATTTGGCAGTTGCGAAGCGAGCTGGGAACCCATGGGCGGATATGATTTTAAGATTTTTTTGGGGTGGCAAAAACAGACCACAGAAATCGTAAAATACACATATAACAATGATTTGGAAAAGGATGTATACAAACCTGTTCTGTGAAATGGTCTATCGTTTGTATTTCTCATTTGGGTACTTGGAGGCTCTGGGGGATTCATGATTGTGATATGTATAGATGTCTCTCATCTCTCATTGATATATTTTTTCTGACACAAGAGGTGCACAAATCGAACCGTACAATCATGTAATGAAAGTTTATTAATATATTTATTTTAATGATCAAGCATGCATGTCCCATGTCTATAAATATGAACATATATACATATATCCAAGTTTTGTACATCTTGTGCATCCACATTGCACTCCCAGCTCCCAGACCACTGGGTCCACTATAATGTGTTGGTCCTCACGAAGGTTTTGACCCGATGTTTGGCCGTGCAGTAAGCCACGGCTGCACGGATACGCTTCCTAGGGATGGTGGATAAAGGAAAAACTAGAACTGCATATGCTCCACGTGCTTTTTGAACGCCTCCTAAGGGGAAGGCAGAGCAAAGCCCCAAGATGTGTAATGGGAGCTCCCAATCAAAACCATAAACAGGATCTAGAAGCACTGTTACCGGATCTGTGATATGAATATGACAACTTTGTTAAAGTATGTGTCTCAGCTATGGTTCCCCATCTTTTGAACAATTTTGGCTCCTTGTCGCCGTTGCATTTCACTAGGATGTCAAGTAAAGCTTTTCTACTTTTGCCACCAGCTGCCCACTGTTTGTGGATCTCTGGGCTGACCTCAAGCTTCCCTGAGCCTGGCTTAGGCTTGCACATCCGTCCAAGAGAAGCAGTCAAAGCGCCCATGGACTTGTTATCGGCAAAAGGCGTGGCCTCCCAAGCAAAAGGAAAGACGGGTCACCATATCTTAAGTTTTTCCACAGGAGGTTTTACGTTGCTTGGGTTGAAACTACTTCCAATCCACATTGTACTCCACAAAAACCCCATATGTCCAGCCATGTTCGCACATGACACTCTGAAAAACTGCAAAGAGAGAAAAACACAGAGAGGGAAAGAAGAAAAGAGCTTTGTCAAAACATACAGGTTGAGCAAATGTGCATGGAATATCATGACATTTAAGATATATCATTCCGATATTTATTCACACAATTCAAAAAGACTTGAATGTTTGCTTGTCAGATTCTCCCGATATTGTGAGATGATACGTATCACACTGAGACCCCACATGTATACAAGGTTAGCAGATACAAGCCTCTTGTGCCCCACGTCCATCATGAGCAGATTGGCTTTCCTGTCAACCGCTGGAGGGATCGAACACATTCTATAGCCCAAACAACTTAAACCATCCCTTTGAAACTTGGTTTTACGTTCAAACTAATTTTTTAGAAATCCCATGGTGGATTGCCATGTCATACCATGCAGTCCTGTTGAGGTGTCTTCTGAGTCTCATGTACTGGGGTAGAAGCCACGCTCACAGGGGAAGATCCTTTCTGAGTGCTCTGTGCACGGACAGGTGTCGAAAGAGGTCTATCAGGCGGCTGCAGCTGCGTGCCGTTGCTCTGCAAGGCCTGCAGCTTTCCTTTCGCAGCCTTGGGTGCAAGTGGGATGGGTATAGATTGGTAAAGGAAGCTGCACATGCACATGAGTATGTATATGTATACATACATTTGACAATTTGTAAATGATATTGTGTGATTCTAAGATGTATCACGTAAGATCCCTCTTCATTCATCATGATCATCATCATCATGATCACTACCATCATCATCATCATCATCATCATCACCGCCATCACAAAAAATCAGAATCATCTCCATCAAGTTCCAGCAGCAACGGCGCGCGAACCCATCCATGGTAACCATCCCTGTCATCATATCATATCATATCATGTCATTTCATGTCATCCTCATCATCATTATCATCATCACCATCATCATCATCACCATCATTTTCATTCATTCTCATTTGCATCGACAACCGAATATAGAAACCACTCAATGGAGGTGGGGAACCTTCAGAACATCTTCAAAGCTTAGCTTCTTGTTCCTCTCCTGTTGTTCTCGAAGAAAAGAGTCTCCACGTAAAATACATGGGGGTTTCGTCACCCATGACCCTGGATATCTAAAGTATACTGATGTATACTGACCCCCAAAGACCTGGAAAAGATTGATCTGCGTGTGTGATAGCATAATTCATGACACACACGCCATGATGCACAGCAAATCTTTTCATTGATATTTCTTCGACAAATCACATGCCATTGGAACAGTCCATGATAGCACACGCATGCTTGAAACCTTTCAGATCCCCTTGCAAAAGCATCCGTATCCACGATGATCCGAATTAAAGTGTCACGTGCGCAGGTATCGCACAGAACACGGTCAACGAATGGATTACGAATGGTGGACCCCAAATCTGCGAGAGATGTAAGGTATTGGACCGTAAAAAAACGGATTTTCACGTATATCAAAAGTGTACTATTTTACGAGTATATTCCATACGGAAATTTACGCCACTGATATGCATTTTATATGCAACTTTCGGGTGTTCCAGTCACAGTGTACTATTTTTGGGTTTTTTTCCGGGTTCGCATTCAAAAACGGATCGGATTTTTCCAGGGTCCACCAGTATCTTCTACGAGCCATCCATGAGCTTTGAATTTGATGCTAAAATCCGATTTTCTCAGATTGTTTGGGGTTAAAATCCGATTTTATCAGATTTTTTTGGGTAGCACGTAGTGCCACTCTGGCGGCACCTGTGTTCCGGTGCCACCAAAAAGATATTTAATGACCTGTGGCATGCGAGCATCACGCCAGACATCGTCGTCTTGGAATCCATCTCCGAACACATCAGTGGGCTGGAGATTGTCAGCGTCAGGGACCTCAGATAGAAGAGACATGGTCCAGGGAGTATGATTGGGAACTGTCACCCATGATTCAACATGAACACTCATGCAATTCCCAAAACAAAGAAATAAACATGTACAGCCATAGCTTTCACTGAATGACGTTGTAATCCAAATTTGTCATGGGTGATCGCTCCTTCAGGAAGTACTTCATTGCAGTGGCAAAGCGGATACCATAGCCAACCGGATACTCCCTTAGTGGTCCATTCTTTGTTTGAAAACCCACATCCCACGATACATTGCAGGTCATGCAAATCTGTTGACACCACTGTTGATGTATGCAACATAATTTGAGTATCTGACTGCGACTGTTTTAACCTCTTGTTTCCCTTGTATCTCTTTCGACCAGCTTTGTCATAGTACACGTCAGCAAGTTCTCTCCCTGCTTTGACAGCCCTCGAAAACTTGGACGCTGTCTGGAATTTTCTAATTGCATAGCTGTTGCTCCAAAGGTTGGTGCGTTTTGGTGTTTTGGAGCCCCACCCACGCATCCAAAAACTTTGTCTCCATACCTGAGGCGGAAAAGTGATATGCTACCTTAAGATGATGCTGGCATATGGTCAGAATCATCTCATAAGTTTGGACAGGAAGATCCAGGATTCATCAGCTAACATTCAAATTGCAAACAAAGAATACGGTAAAACTCAACTGCCTTACAGTGTGTATATATATATAATTATATATATATCTATCTATTTAGCTATGTATATATATAAATATATATATAAATAAACATATATATATATATGTATTAATATATATATATATATACTTTTATAATATGTGAATATATTTTTATAGTATATTATATAATATAAGTGACCCCCATAGATTGTTGTCCATAGCCATCATCAAGATGCAGTGCAGTACTTGAGTAGAAGCTGGAATCGCGGATGCCTAAACACAAGGCTGCTAGCCGGTTGTTCAAGTACCCAAACTGACCCACGGCTCATGATCAGCAGGATTGCGAGAATCATCCTGGCCGGGTGGTCAAGGTCAAAGGCATGGCTACCCAGATGGGACGGGGCCGTCTGTCAAAAAAGGATCCCATCATTATATATGAAAACATATCATGGAAATCCCAGTTTTCAGATGCCCATGTTATCAAGTATATATATCTTCCAATTATAAACCCTTTCAAGAACCCACACCTTCATTTGGGAATTCCGGAGTCCTATGTCCATGCATCCAATTTGTTTGGATTCTGAGAGCAAGGCATGACACATTATATATTTGAAACTCTGGAGAACCCTGATTCCTTGAACACAGAAGATTTCCAAGTTCCACTGACTTCGAAGATGGATCTCCCAAAGGAAGGAAGTAGTGGCGATGAGTGCTTCCACGTGAAACACTCACGAAACTCGAGCACACCAGGCCAAAGGCAAACACTGCGCCCTCTTTGCTTCTCAAGATGGTAGACAGCAGAAGCCTCAGAAACCCAGGTGGAGCAACGATCAGATTGGGCTATTTTAGGCAGAGCCTGAGGTCAAAAATGATACTATATATATATAAATATATATATATTTAATAAATAGATGTGCACTTATATTTTTTATGCATTTTCAGCCTAGATACCCGAATCCAGCCGGTGAAGCCAAATCCAATGGGTTTCCCTTGCAACGCTTTTTGCCATGTGGACGTTGCTCAATCCATGGCGTCCAGTCAAGGATGTCAAGACTGGCTGTGGCGAATCCACTAGCTAGCAAACACCAGCTCAAATCCCCTTTGCCCGAAAAGACTTCCACGGCATCATAGATCTGCAGGGCGAGTTAAGTTGATTTCATCAAATCTTTATCCACCGATGCATAAGTACCCATGGGTTTCAAACACACCGATGTATATATATATATATATATACTATATGTGTGTATTTTGTATGTGTGAATATATTTATAATATATATATATATATTTATTTGTAAAATATATTATGAATGTGCAAATTTGATTTCTACAAAAAGGATGTGCATATAAAAAAATATTTATGTGATATATGTTTATATGTAAACAGTTTCCATGACGGACCCACCAACCTCGTCCCATTGAAGACCCTCTGTGAAAGCTAGAATGAGCACAGCCAGAATGAGCACCTGAGCAGCGGGGAGTATTGGCAGTTTTTTTTTTTAAAATATCTACGCTTCCCTGAACTGTATGATTGCCTTGAGACATTTTATACATCACTCAGGGAAATGCAACGTATAATAATTTGCAAACATGTCGGTTCACACATGTGGAACAGAAATAATATCCATGAAAAACAGCGACACCAACAATGATGAAAAACCTATACAACTCCGGTTTTGGCTCAGGAACCTTTGGAGCCTGGATCATCAAGAGCTGCCGCAGGACGCGCTTCAGCTGCGACGGTGGCATCGCCATCAATCCGTTGTGTGTCTCAACACTCAGTTGGAAGAATGCAACCCATGCAAATCTAAATCCATTTGGTTGTATATCCCCCCAATTTGGATCTATAGTTTTGATCGAGACCTTAGGCTGAAGCTGGCTGCGATAGACAACATTAGAGTAGAATGGCACTTGAATCAACATGTCACCAATGCGGATTCCCTTTCTGATTTATTAAAACCGATCCTTGTCTATAGGTATACACATATATTTGACTGATATATCATCAATGGATCAATTCAAAAGATACCTCAAAGAGAGTCCGATGTTTCAAGGAAACCAGATGCACAAGACAGCCCCTACAGATACCCTCAAAGTCTATAAGTCAGAAATTGACTGCCGTTTTGGATTGCAACTTTTGGCATGCCAAAGTCAACCATGTAATCCATGTCCATGTATAGTTTATATTCAAAGTTCCGTATAAGATCTCAAAAATGTAAATGTATCAACCCGCAGCACGGGGAGGGCGAACCCGCTCGTGGATGCCTGAGCCTCCACGCTTTGCTCATCCTGGCATGTGGCATTCCGGGTGGGGCTGTGAAGGGCCCTAAACGGATTCTTCAAAAGTGTGCAAACCAAATCTTGAAAGCATGCAGTTTTGAAACATTTTTTCGATGTCTCCTCGCGGGCAATGCCAGACCCTGTAGTTGTCCAAAATTAAGATTGAATGCCATGCGCCGTCGCACATCCAGCTTTAGCCGAGTCACAGGTTCCAATGATATCTAAAGACTGGACTATCATACACAATTATTCAAAGTTCTTTGATGGGTAAAGTAAAATTGGAATCCAACACACCATCTGGATGTGGCTTTCCATAGCAAACCCCGCTGTTGTAGCAAGGTTTTTGATCCCTGCTACTCCGACCCCAAACTTTGGCGTTTCATCTGCAGCTGGCAGGACAAAGCCATCAAGCACATCCAAAGCGAGCGATACCTGAGTTCAAGGACAAGTGGGTCAGGAAGTGTTGGACCTGAAGTTGCGTGCATACCCTTTAACAAAAGCAGACAATTCACCATGATATCATATACATATACACATATAACATATAATATATGCGCATATATATTTAATTATATAGTTATACGCTGTATATAACATGGACATATACACACATACATTTGAAAAAGTTACTGTACGCTCAGTCTAGTTTCCTGGACACGCCCACTTCACTGATTGAAGCTTCTCATCATGTTCATCTAGTCTTTCTTGGATTTTCGGGACTTCCCACCCTCTTTTCCATCATTCTTTGCTTTGCGTTTGGGTTTCTTAACCTGGGGTTCCTCAGCCTCACGACGATTGGTCTCAGGGTCATTCGTCGAACATTGCTGCTGCTGGTACTGGCGAAAGAATGCTGCACTATTTCCCCTAAATCCTGGGCGTTTGCAGATTTTGCATCCGTTGTAGATGCACCTGCAGTTGGCGCACCCAAAAGTTTGACCCTCAAGTACCTCATACATCCAACGGCCATCTCCAAGTTCCATGCGCTTCTGGGAATGGCGAGTTGACTCAGCTGGCTTATCATCATTCTTTTGGTTTTTTTTGGACCTTGCCTTTGCCTTGGGCTCAGCTGGCAATGCCACATCCTTTGTTTTTGGACATTTGCTGCCACCTTTGACCTCGAGATCCTTGCTGGACCTGCTCTTGGATTTCAAAATCTGACGCTTGTGGGATGGTTTGATTGGGGAAACTCCTTTGGGCTCTTTGGTAGTTTTTCGGCTCTTTCGACCCTTAGTCTTGCCATCCTTTTGACCATTAGTCTTACCCTTACGACTCTTACGCCCCTTCTTCAGAGTCTTCTTCCGGGAAGTTCGAAAAGCAGCTTGCATCTGAGGCGTAACCTCAGGAGCATCCACCTGACGTGAAGCGGTATGTAAAGGTAATG